ACAAAGTCATGAAGAATTATCCCTGTGTTTTCTTAAAAAGTTTTATTGTTTTAGTGCTTATAGTTATGTCTTTGATCCATTTTGAGTTTATTTTTGCATATGGTATAAGGTAGGGGTCCAACTTCATTCTTTTGCATGTGAATATTCAGTTGTGCAAACACTGTTTGTTAAAGAGACTGTTCTCTCCTTCATTGAGTTGTCTTGGCACCTTTGTCAAAAATGGATTTACCACATTCTTCTCAAGTGCACATGGGACATTGTCAAAGAAAACTACAAAGACCCTTGGCCAATGATTTGATTTATTAGCTACGGAACAGTTTTTATGAACAAAATTAGAACACTAGTAGGGAACCAAATCAGTATCCTGTCTCTTGAACCACATAAAAGCTTAAAAAGCACCAATAAAGAGAAGATTTAAGGCCAGAAAAATACAAGCAGATGGGCTTATGCCCAATGAATAGCACCAAATATTTCTCTATAGGCTAAGGGGAAAAAGCTGTGCCAACTTTTATTAGCTTGAATAAAGTAAACATACAAAGAATTGAAGACATACTTATAAGAAGAGCAAATGGAGTAGAATTTTGAGAATATAATCTGGCAACTAGAAAGAACTAAATTTCACAATAAAAGTTATTTTAAAAATATCCTTAGTGGCCCTAACTGGTTTGGCTCCGTGGCTAGAGCACCAGCCTGTGGACTGAAGCATCCCGGGTTAGATTCCGGCCAAAGTCACGTACCTTGGTTGCAGGCTCAATCCCTGGCTCCTGTCAGGGCACTTGTGGGAGGCAACCAATTGATGTCTCTTTCTCAAATCAGTGTTCCCGCCCCCCCCTCTGAAAAGCAATGAAAAAATATTCTCAAGTGAGGATAAAAAAAAAAAATCCTCAATGATCATGAAAAGGGGTTCAGAGACGATGAAAAAATGAAATTGTCAAAATCCATTTTATCTCTGCATTAAAGAGGCACAGCTGGAGAAAAAAAAAAAATTTACCATAGATGTACAGGTTTATTTCTAGACTCACAATTCTATTCCATTGGTCTGTATGTTTATCCTTATGCCAGGATCTCATTGTTTGATCCCTGTACCTTTATAATATGTTTTGAAGTTTGTAAGTATGAGTCCTCCAGCTTTGTTTTGCTTTTTCTTTTTCCTTTTAGTTGGGCAGGATCTTTTTTTAATCCTCACCTGAAAATATGTTCATCGATTTTTAGAGAGAGGGAGAGAGAGAGAGAGAGAGAGATCCATATAGGTTGTCTTCCATATGTGCCCCTACTGGGATCAAATCTGAAACCTAGGTATGTGCCCTGACCAGGAATCAAACCCAAGACCTTCTGGTGCACAGGAGGACAATCCAACCAACTGAACCACACCAACCAGGAGTGTTCTGCTTTTTCAGTATTGTTTTGGTTATTTGGGGTCTCTTAATATTCCATATGAATTTTAGGATCAGCTTCTCATTTTCTGCTAAAAATCCATTGGAATTTGGATAAAGATTACATTGATCTGTAGATTGCTTTGCGGGAGTATTGTCATCTTAATAAGTCTCCAATCCATGAATATGGGATGTGGTTTCATTTATTTAGGTCTTCAGTTTCTTTCAGCAATGTCATGTAGTTTTTTTGTGCACAACTCTCATCTCCTTAGTTAAATTTATTCCTATTTAATTCTTTCTGATGCTATTATAAATAAAATTTCTCTTTAAATTTCCTTTTGGAATTGTTCATTGGCAATATATAGAAATACAGCTGACTTTTGTGTCTTATCTTGGATCCTACAAATTTGATGAGTTCATTTATTAACTCTAGTCCTTTTTTGTATATTCTTGATGGTTTTGTATATATTAGACCGTGTCTCTATCCATGAATAGAGATAGTTTTACCTCTTTCTTTCCAGTTTGGGTGTTTCATTTCTTTTTCTTCACTAACTGTCCAGTAAAATGTTAAGTGGCAAAAACTGGCTTCCTTTTCTTGCTCCTGATTGTAGGGCTAAATAGCTTTCAGTTTTTCACCATTTAGTGTAACATTAACTATGGGTTTTTTGTATATGACTTTTATCATGGTGAGGAAGTTCCCTCTGTTCCTAGTTTATTTAGTGTTTTTATAATGAAAGTGTGTTAGATTTTGCCAAATGCTTTCCCTGCATCGATTAAGATGATTGTGTGTGTTTTTCCTGTCATTCTGTCAGTGTAGCGTGTAGTATGCTATATTGGTTGATTTTCATATGTTGAACCACCCTTGTATTCATGGGGTAAATCTTACTTCATGGTCATGGTGTACAGTTCTTTCAATATGCTCCTGGATTCAGTTTGCTAGTATTTTGTTGGAGATTTTTGCATATATACTCTCAATAAAAAGATATTGATCTATAGTTTCCTTTTCTTTTGATGTCCTTATATGGGCTTTTGTGTCACAGTAATGCTGTTCTCATAGAACAAGTTTGGAAGGTGTTCCTTTCTTATCTATTTTTTGGAAGAGTTCCAGAAGGATTGGTGTTAATTTCTTCAGATGTTTGGTAGAATTCACCATTGAATAGGATTTTCTTCACTGGGAGGTTTTCAACTACTGATTCAATCTCTTTCCTTATTATGGGCCTTTTCAGACTTTCTATTTCTTCTTGAGTCAGCCTTGATAGATTATGTGTTTCCAGGGATTTTTCCATTTCTTCTAGGTTATATAATTTGTTAGCATACAGTTGTTCATAGTATTCCTTTATAGTCCTTAATGTCTGTTCCCACTTTCATTGTCAATTTTGTTGACCTTTCAAAGAGTCAACTTTGGTTTTATTGATTTTCTCTGTTGTTTTTCTGTTCCCCAGTCTGATTTCTCTCCATCCCTCTCTATGTCGTTTCCTTCCTTCTCCTCCCTCTGGGTTTAGTTTGCTTTTCTTTTTCTAGTTCTCAAAGGTGTAAGCTGGGCTGTCGATTTGCTTTCTCTCCTCTATTAATGTAGACATCTCCAGCTACAAATTTCCTTCTGAGAACTGTTTGTGCTCCATCTCATAAATTTTGCATGTAGTAGTTTCATTTTCATTCATCTCAAAGTATTTCATAATTTCTTTGTGATTTCTTCTTTAATCTATTGGTTAAGAGTATGTTGTTTAATTCCACATATTTGTGAATTTTTCAGTTTTCCTTTTGTTATTGATTTCTAGCCTCAGTCCATTATGGTTGGAAAATATGTTTTAAATGATTCCAATCTTTTCTAACTTATTGCAGCTTCTTTTATGGCCTTACATATAATCTCTCCTGGAAAATGTTCCATGTGCACTTGAGAGGGATGCACATTCTGCTTTTGTTTAGGGGGATTATTCTGTATATATCTGTTAGGTCTAGTTAATTTATAGTGTTGCTCAAGTTCTCTATTTTCTAATTGATCTCTATGGTTGTCCTACCCATTATTAAAAGTGAGGTATTGAAGCCTCCAATGGTTATTATAGAACTGTGTATTTCCCCACCAGTTCTGTCACTTTTGCATAATATACTTTGGGGCTTGGTTGTTAGGTGTATAGATGTTTATAATTATTTTATCTTCTTGACACTTTTATCAATATGTAATGTTCTTTGACTCTTGTAACAAGTTTTGACTGAAAGTCTATTTTGTCTGATGGTATAGCAGCCTGAGCTCTTTTTGGTTTACTATTTGTATGGACTCTCTTTTTCTTTTTTTAAATCCTCACCCAAGGATATTTTTTCCATTGCTTTTCAGAGAGAGTGGAAGGGAGGGAGAGGGAGAGGGAGAGAGAGAGAAACATGGATGTGAAAGAGACACATCAACTGGTTGACTCCCACACATGACCCGACTGGGGATCGAGCCTGCAACCAAGGTACTTGCGCTTGGCTGGAATCGAACCCCGGACCCTTTGGTCCATGGGCCAACGCTCTAACCACTGAGCCAAACTGGCTAGGGCTGTTTGTTTTGTTTTGTTAATCCTCACCCAAGGATATTTTTCCATTGATTTTTAGAGAGTGGAAGAGAGGAAGGGAGGGAAGGAGGGAGAGAGAGAGGCAGGGAGAGGGAGAGAGAGAGAGAGAGATTGAGATAGAGAAAAAATCAATGTGAGAGAGACACATCGGTTGGATGACTCCCGAGTGTGCCCAGACCATGGCCGGGGATCAAGCCTGCAACTCAGATATCTGCCTTTGGCCAGGAATCAAACCTGAGACCCTTCAGTGTACAGGCTGACACTCTCACCACTGAGCTACACCAGCCAGGCTGTACCAATGTTCTTTATTTCTTCCTATGGGTTTAAGTTACTGGTTAGTGTCCTTTCATTTCAGCCTAAAATGCACTTCCTTTCCTATTTCTCTAAGGATAGATCTACTAGTGGTGAACCCTCTCAGCATTTGTTTATATGGAAATGTCTTAACCTCTTCTTCAATTTTTGAGGGATAGTTTTGCCTGATATAGAATTTTTGGTTAACTGTTTTATTCTTTCAGCACTTTATATGTCATCGTAATGTCTCCTGGCCTCCAGGGTGTTTGAAAAGAATTTGGCTGTTAATCTTGTTGAAGATCCCTTATACTTAATGTGTAGCTTCTCTCCTGCTGTGTGTAAGATTCTCCCTTTGTCTTTGTCTTTTGATATTTTGATGAAAATGTATCTCTGTGTCAATCTCCTTGTGTTTAGCCTACTTGGAGTTTGTTCAGAGTGTATAGATTCTTGAGTGTATAGACTCAGGTCTTTCATCAAATTTGGGAAGTTTTTTGCCTAGATCCTGGAGCTGTAATATATTAATCAGAAACAATTTCACCTGCGTTATCCCCCTCCCCTGTGCATGCGAAGGTTTGTCTCCACTGGCTTGGGCAGGGACTGTCATCTGCATGCTACAGATAGGAAAACTGAGTCTCAGGGAGATGCTATTACAGTCTGTCCAGCCACTGGGTCCTTTTGTGATATTGCTTATCACCCATGATGTGCTGGGTGCTGGGCTAGAGCAGAGGACTCATAAAAAACAATGGCCCAGGCATTTGGGGTGTCCCAGGGACCTGCACCTCCATAGCCCGTATAATTCCTCCCAACCGCACGGCAGAGGAAAGGCTCAGGATGCTATCTTTCTCTGTCTCCTCAACTCCTATGCAGCGCTGCTGCCTCCCTACAACCTCCAGGAAGTGCAGGTCTCCATCATAAACAACTCCAGGTGTAATACCCTGTTCCAAAAGCCCAATTTCTTCTATGGAATCAGAGATGACATGATTTGTGCTGGCTCTGAGGATGGTAGCCATGACTCCTGCAAAGTGAGTGCCCCACCCCTGCCTCTGCCCCTGCCCCTGCCCCTGCCCCAGCCAGGGCCTTGCTGGAAACAGGCACCATCTGTTTCCTTGGGCCTGAAAGCAACCTCCATGACCAACCTACTTTCAGAATTGATTAATGAGAAAATGATTGCAGCCCTTACTTACCCTGCCTATAAATGCTTCTCATTTTGCATTAACTGTATCTCCTTTAATCCTCATGTGAATTCTGGTGGGTAGAGATTGTTGCCCCCACTTTGCAGATGCAGAAACTAAGGCTTGGTCACTTCCAGGGGGAGGAGTAGGATTTGCACCCAGTTTTCCCAGCTCCATAGCCCCTCCTACTCTGGGGCCTCTCCACTGGCCCCTCCTTCCCCGCCTCAGGCCAGGCTTAACCATGCTGCTCTCCAGGGTGACTCAGGTGGACCCTTGACCTGTGAAAAGAATGGACTGTGGATTCAGATTGGAATCGTGAGCTGGGGAGTAGGCTGTGGTAGGCCCAACCAGCCTGGAATTTACACCAACGTCAGTAGGTACTTCGGCTGGATCCAGAAGCTCACAGCCCACAGCCCACCCAGGCCAGACCCCTTCCCACTGCTGCTGCTCCTCCCTCTGCCCTGGGCTGCCCCACTTGTGCAGCTGGCCTGTGCACAGCTGACCCTGTAAGAATGCAGCAGTTACCCAGCATTGGGCACATTCACCCAGGGCTGTGGACACCCTAGTGGCAGGACTGTCTGCTGGATCAGGCTCTGGTCCCCTTCTGTCTCTTTTGCTAATAAACACTTGTGCATGTTTTGCTAATAAACATGTGTGCATGCTCTGATTCCTTGTAGAGCATTTTTGTGGACTCAGGTGGCTTCTTGGACACCCTCATGGTCACTGATGTCCCATTCACTCCAAGACCACTCCCTAATTCCTAAATCTTTCTCTGCTTATCTGCACTATACATATTTTGGTTGCAAACAGTAGAACCCTCTCAGGTTAATTCAATCAGGAAGATAATTTATGGAAGGGCATTAGTAGCACCAGGGTCCCTGGAGGCTCTGAAGACTGGAGTGGGGGTACTGTGAAGGAAACGCCCCCAAACACCCCAGTGCTCATGCCGGTGGCCCCATCACACAGATGCCAGGTGCTCCTGGTCTTACTGCGGTCCCCCAAAGGCTGACCTGGAACCAGGACTAGAGGTGCAGGTAGTTTATTTGGGAGCTGATACCAATAAGCCCCAGTGAGGAGTGGGGAAACTGAGGCAGGGAAGGAAGAACCCCATGACCTTTGCCTGAAAGAGGAGGTTATTGTGTGGACAACTGAGGCACAGTCCCTCTGGGAAACCACAGGGAACACAACCCCCTCCATCAGACTCCTGGAAGACAAGGATGCTGGGTGTGGGCACTTCTCTCCTGACTCCCAGAGGTTGAGGGTTCTCCTGGAGGCATGCGTGCTCCAAGGTGAAGCAAGCCCTGGTGAGGAGGCCAGAGCCTAAGGAGCTGCTGCAGCACCATAAGGTGGCCTGGTGGAGGGGGGAAGCATCAAGTGTGTCTGGCTCCTCACTGGTGTCCCAGAACCCAACCTCAGCCTGACAAAAGATCACACCAACAGGACAGATTCAGGTGCACTTTGGAACAGCTCAGGCAGATCTGCCTTTTGACACGATTCCCAAGTGCTGTAAGCTCAAGATGTGTGAGGAGCTATGGTTGGTCTAGACTCCTTCCCTCCGTTCTCCACGCCACAGTTCCCTGCTGTGGAGAGGCAGGTGTGGGAGTCTTCAGAGGGGGGACCTTCCTGGTTTCTGCCCCACACCTGCCGGCAATGCAGGTGTGTAGGGCATCCCACTGAGGCTTCGTGCCCTAGGGCGGCCCTCTGAGGCTGCAACTTCCCTTCCCCCTGGCCACAATGAGCAAACTGATGCTGAGTGAGGTGACAGGACTGCTAGAGTCACCCAGCTCACAAGGGCCCAGGTATAGAGAGCACTTGGTCAGGCCTGGGGTCTGGGCTCCTTGTGGGGCCGGCCAAGCCGCCAAGCCGGAACTTCACGGAACAATAGTATTCAGGTGCCTTAGCCACCAGCACTGTAAGGAGCCAGGAGCCTGGGGCAGATTTGGAGGAGCCCTGCCAAGGATCCTCTGGAGCTTCCTGGCCTGACCGCAGGCCCCCTCCTCTCCTCCCCCACCTCACTGCCCTTGTTCGGTTGGGCCCAGGCTCCTGCCCCCAGTTTTCAGCACCTGGCCCAAACCAGGCTTCTTTTGAGAATTGCAGGCGTCCCTTTCCTGCCACCTCCAAAGTGCTGCTCAAAGCATCTTTGTTTGAGGCTGGACAGGTGAAGCCGCAGCCCCTCCCTGGTCTCCTTAATCACCCCCTGGCCAGAGCCCCACCCCCTCCTGGCCTTTTAAGCCCCCACATACTCCCCCAGCCCAGTCAGCAGGGAGGGCACCAAGCTGTGAGGGTGAGAGCAGGGTCCAGGGGTTGCCAGGGTGGGTGGGGGCAGCAGTTGGACAATGGAAATAAAAGGTGGGGAAGGGGCTTGCCTGGAGGCCTAGGGTGCCCAAGTCTCAAAGGGCATGGGGGCAGGGGTGGTGCCTGGGGCCTGGAAAGCAGACAGAGCCTGGGCCATGGGGATAAGTCTGGGACCAACTAGGGGCTGAGGGAAGGCAGAAGGGCCTCTAGGAGGCTAGTGCTCTAGGCTAGGACCCTCCCTCTCTCTGCAGGCTCCTACCAGAGTCTAAGCCCTGGGCAGTGCCACCTTTACCCAGCCCAGTCCTAAAGACAGAATGAGGGGGACTTCCTGCCTCCAGGTCCTGTTCCTACTGCTGTTGGGTGAGTGTGGGGCAAGGGCAATGGGTGCTGACCACAGGGACCTTGGCTACCAGATGTCCCATCTCACCCCTCTCTGGCCTGGTTCCCATAGAGCATTCCAGGGCATCCTAATCTTGGCTTCAAGGGTTCAAGCTCTCTTTGTCATTGACCTTGGGCTCTCCAAACCCAGATGTGCTCATCTGTGTAATGGGTATAAAATCCCCACCTCACAGTGCTCTGGGGAGAGTTAAATTGGGTAACCTGCTGGACAAAATCCTGGCACCAGGCTAATGCAACAACTATGTTCCACCCTCCTTCCTAATCTGTAGCCTCCCTTCCCCTCACCCCGTTATCTAACCAAATCCATAATCCAGTGCCTTCCCTACTTCCTCCTCCAGGAGCTGCTGGGACGCTGGAGTCTGCAGGTTAGGAAGCCTCAGGGGCCCCATACCCACCCCTGAGCCGACCCCCCCCTAACCTTGGCTCTGTGTCTCCCGGCCCCCGCTTCCCACGCCTCCAGTCCTTCGCCCACCCTCGCCGTCCCCCTTGTCCTCTCGCAGTCTGCGGGCAGCCTCGTGCGTCCAGCAGGATCGTAGGGGGCCAGGACGCCCGCGCAGGAGAGTGGCCGTGGCAGGCGAGCATCCAGCACCACGGGGTGCATGTGTGTGGGGGCTCGCTCATCGCCCCCCAGTGGGTGCTGACAGCGGCGCACTGCTTCCAGAGGTCAGGCTGGAGCGAGGGGATAAGGGAATGCGGGGAGAGGGGAGCTTCCCGCAAGGCCCAGGGTAATCGGGGCACCACCTAGCGGAGGCGCGGGACGGTGCCGGCTCCAGGGAGCAGCGCGGACTTGGGGCGCTACTGGAGGTGGAGGAGGGGTGCTCTAAATAGCCCCGCTCCTGTCACGCAGGAAGGCGCCACTGTCTGAGTACCGCGTGCGCCTCGGGGCGCTTCATCTGGGTCCTGCCTCGGCCCTTGCAGTCTCGGCACCCGTGCAGAGGATGCTGTTGCCCCCCGACTACTCTGAGGACCGGGCCCGTGGCGACTTGGCACTGCTACAGCTGCGCCGCCCGGTGCCCCTGAGCTCCCGAGTCCAGCCCGTCTGCCTGCCGGAGCCCGGGGCCTGCCCGCCTCCCGGTACACTGTGCTGGGTCACTGGCTGGGGCAGCCTCTTCCCAGGAGGTGAGGCAGAGGGCGGGCACTGGGGGAACCCTCCCTCTAACCGGGAATCCCACCCACCACTGCTTCAATCTGGGACCCAGTGCAACCTCCAGGCACCCCAAACTCCTCCCAGTCCTGGCAAGTTAGATTCCCAGGTGAGGCTTCTCCCACCCACCCTCCTACTGCCACGCCCTCTCTCATCTCTCATAAGTCCCCCTTCTTCCCTCCCAGTGCCACTCCCAGAGTGGCGACCTCTTCAAGGAGTAAGAGTGCCATTGTTGGATGCGCACACTTGCGACCACCTCTACCACATAGGCACCAACGTGCCCCATGCTGAGCACATAGTGTTACCAGGGAACCTATGCGCTGGCTACACCCAGGGCCACAAGGATGCCTGCCAGGTGCGTGAAGCTGCCTTGAACCTCTGGAGTCCATGCTCCTGTGCCCAGTACCCTACCTCCCTTGAACCCAGGACCAAGGAGGTGCTACCTCCAGGCTCAGTGTCCTGACTCCCAACCCAGATGCACCACCTGGGGGATGAACCTTAGGACTGCCATCATAGTCTTCAGAGGGCTGGGACCAAAGCTTGCCTTTCTCCTACAGGGTGATTCTGGGGGACCCCTGACCTGCTTGAAGTCTGGGCGCTGGGTCCTGGTGGGCGTCGTGAGCTGGGGCAAGGGCTGTGCCCTGCCCTACCGTCCAGGTGTCTATACCAATGTAGCCATTTATAGCCGCTGGATTCAGGCTTGCCTCAACCACTGATGTGGTGACACTGACCTCGAGTCAGATGCTGGAGTTCCTCAGCTTCTTGGTCCCTCTAGGGACCTGCACATCCCCCAACCCCACCACTTCTGACTTGAGGCTCAGAGGCCTGATAAAACTAAGAAGCCATCCGTCCTTCCATCTCCCCATCCCCTACCTTCCTTGGGGCTCACCAAACCTGAGCTGCCAGCCCTGCTCCAGGAGCCTCCCATGTGTGGGGGTCTCACACTCCTACCTTCAACTTCCTGCTCATTTACCCTCTGCAGCTCCAGCCATGGGTGGGCCTGGGCTCCCAGAGATGGGTAAGTGACATTCTGGTTTGGCCTGTGTGCCCCTCTTTTTCTGGAGGAAGTCAGGGAGATTTGAAGTACAGAGGGATTCAGCACCAAAGAGATGGTTTTCCATTGCTAGCTTTGAAGATGGTGGTGGTGGGTCACATGGCAAGGAACTCCAAGCAGCCTCCAGGAGCTGAGGGCAGCCTTGGCTGACAGCCTTCAGGCAAAGGGAAACTGAGCATGGAGGCAAATTCTTCCCCCAGCCTCCAATGAGAGCCCACCAGGCCAAGCCCTTGATTTTGACCTGGTGAGACCCTACCCAGAGAACCCAGCTGAGCCAAACCAGACTTCTGGCCCACAGAGCTGTGATTTAATAAATTTGTGTTGTTTAAAGCCACTATGTTTGTAGTCATTGGTTACACAATAGGAAATGAACCTAGATTTTGCCCCACCGCAATGAAGGTGCCTTGAGCAGGGTAGGCCTCCACCAGGCTCAGGAGTCGGGGCCTGGAATCATGCCCTCTGCCCAAAAGAGGTTAGGAGCACCCAGGCCAGCCTGGCTGGAGTTTCTGCTGTTGTTGTTTCTGTCATTATCCCATCCATGCCCTGGGGGAGCCTGGGGCTGGGTCCTAGCATTGGCCAGAACCTCCATGCCCAGGACCTCCAACCTCTGTATTTGGA